CATTCCTGCACATGGTGGACTGGGGAGGCCAGTGGCAAAAGAGAGATTTTCCACGTGCAACTGCAAGCCTGCTTCCACAGCCCAGGAAAATCAGATTGCCTTCCATGCCTTTCTAGGGCTGGGAGGACAAAGCAAACCTGATGCTCTGTGCCTGCCAACCACAAAGGCACTGACTCTAGTACATGCACAATCAGACACTGAATGCCATCAAGGAGATTCCCAGTAATAAACCCCTGCTTGCTGGAGGTGCAACGTTGCCAGCCAGACCATCTCTAACTACGGAGGCAACAGAAGAAATAGTTCTGAATAACTGTAGGGTATCTGCTTCTAAAACTAAGGGTCCTCAGCCAGCCAATACAGGAAAGATGCATCATTTTGTTGAATAAAGTCTGAAAGTTTAATAGCAGAGAACTTGAACGGCAAGAATTAAGCAAGCCTTAGCTTGTGCTTGATAAGTAAGCTGTACCCAAAGCAAAACCATGCAGAACTTTTTGGAGTTGCAGAAAGATGGCTGCGATGATAGCAGCGCATGATTACCCTTCTGCTCACCTAAGCGTCAGAGTGAAAGGAGCTTGGCATGTTCCCTAAAACTTCTTGTTAATAAGCATGTCCCAAGGCTGACCTCAAGCTGACCACATCCATGTGAAAAGCACCAGCTTGGTTACAAAAGGAGTCACAGCTCGAAGAGTCCAGAAAGCATCACCAAAGGGAAAAAGTTCAGCTGCCTAATACCCCCTGTGAGCAGTTTCTAAGGCCACTTGTCTTCTGTAACACTCTGGGCACACATGCTCTAAACATAGAATAAACATTAATAAAGCACAATCCACTTTCCCCCCTCCTGTCTTTCACACCATTAAGATTCTAGCCTTGAGGGCTCACAGGTAAGCATCCAAAGGTGAAAAGGAGACTAACAGATACCTATCTGCAGTCAGGGTGGAGAACAAGGCTGCGGAAACACCACCACCACCCACTGCTGTGCCACAGAGATGACTTCTGCACTTGGTGGCAATGCTCTCAGCAGTAATTAAAATGTCCCCCAGTAAGTCACAGCAGGAGTGAAGGGCAGACGAAACATGAGTCATCCAGGTGTATGGCAGACAGCGGAATGTGGGTGTGTTACCCTGTGGCTCCAGGCCAATGTGACCTCACTTAAATTTCAGTGAATGATGGGCCTTCCCCTCTTTTATGTACATACTCCTCTCCTTGGTCTGCAAAGCCATACCCACTGAGCCTACACACAGCTATTTCATGCAGGGAGCTCTCCTGGCAAGTCATCACATGGCAATGGTGGTGGTGGCAGCAGCAGTAGTGTTCCTTTTCCTCTCCATGTGAGTCTTGCTTACTGTACCTTGCGTTTACTGTCTCCAGTCAGCACCCCTACCACATCCAGACCCTTGCCCGAGCCCTACCATCGTAACTACCAGTCTGTCCATCCATATTTGCAACCTGTTCCTGTTCTCCTGCTGCTTTACAGCACAACGCAGTCGCACTCAGGAAGGAGGAAAACCCAGGGAAGAACACAGTTTGCAACTGGGTTAATTTGGAAATTCTTGCACTTGAATGCTGTTAAAGTGTTTGCCAGGGACTTTGGTGGAAGCAAGCGAGCTCTAACATCTAGCACACTCCCATAGGAAACCTGTGTAAACTAATTCGGTTGAACCGTTACCACTCGGGGTGATTAACCGCAGGAGTCTCTGATCTCTCCTTATTAAAGAGAAGCAGAATGAAATTCACTGATTCATATCAGCTTAATATAAATCCTTGTGAGATTCTCAACTGACTTCAGCAGTGGCAGGATCTGGTAACCTCCATGGGGGAAGAACACCTCTCTTGCAACCACACCTTCATGTGACAGGGGAAAGCTGACAAGCATTTGTACTGGATATCAAGTAACACCGAGTCTGCAGTGTGCAAACTTCCAGCCTGTGGTGTGCAGCAGACAAGCACACAGGAGCACTGCAGCTCAGAGAAGATCTTTATTCCAATGCCACTTTTGAATACTTGGCACTTGGTAAGCAGACATGTGCCATCTTGTTTTAAACAGCTCCATCTTCACACATTAAGTGTGCTTGATAGAGATTTGGGCTAGGGGTGAGCAGGATTAAGGATGGCTGTAGTTTGCAGAGATTATTCTCTGCCACAGGAGTTTTTCCCTTCAGTAGCTAAAATAGTGCTCTGGGGCAATTCTGGAGCTGCTCACCTCAAGTCAGGGAGGCCACCCCTAACAATCTTGAACCCTATTTGTAGATGCCCCAGCTTGAGCAAAATAGCACATGTATATAGCTTTAGTAACGCTAAACAAATCTCGTTTTTCAAGTCACCCTTACAAGATTGCTTGGTGTTTTACATATGTTTTACAAGATATGCTTTTTGATACATGTTGTTCCACTGCATCCCTGTACAATCTTTCACCCAAGTGCAACTCCAGGACACTACACACAATGGGAACAGATGTCAAACACAATGTGCTGTTTCTAGCTGTACCTAACTCACCACAACTGCTGCAACTGCTCAATTCAGCATTTCCCCCAGAGACCTCCTTAAGAACAAGGACTGCCTCGCATGGGCTGCATGCTGTACAGCAAAAATTGAGTGTTGGCTCCTGTCCCAAAAGTATAGGACTAGCATTTTAGAAATAGTTAAAGGAATAACATAATTTATTTTTAAAAACCAAGCTACAGCCATACCCTGTTTCGGTCTGGAAAGAAAGTCATACATGATGACAGCTTGGTTAGGATCAGGGAAAAAAAAAGACAAGAAAAATATCAAAAGGGAAAAGACAACAAAGCCCCATTTCATGAATGCCATTGTTCGTGCAACTATAAGCTTAGGGTCTATAAAGTTATCAAGCAGAAACTGAAATTGGCTGTAGCAGATAATGCATTACTAAATGCTACAGTATCTTATAAGATTCTTAAGGCTGGGTAATGACAGAATACCTGAAAAGCAAAAGAAACAAGTTTCTCAGATGAAATCTTCAGAGTTCAGTACTTATGGATGTGTTAGGACATAGACTGTGCACAGATGTAAAAAGTTCTGAATGGCAGCCATACAAACAGAGGTGATCCTGCAGCTACCCAAGTATGCTCCAGCAGTATTGAGACAGGGCAACACGTGTCAGGCACACTGCATGCACCAGTTGCAATACTGAGCTTGCATGTCTCATCCAGCTCACAGGCAGAGTAACAGAGGAGGTAAAAAATGACTAGTAAAAAGTTTTTCACATGAATAAAGCTTCAGATAAGGATGACTCATAACTTTAATTTAGCTTTAAATACTTGCTATTTGCAAACCAAACAAGACATTCCCTACTCCTTGCATTACCCATAAGCCAAATCAACAAAGATAGCTTTCAGTTGAACAAAGCACACCTAGGAGATAAGGGGTGAGAAATATTTTTTGCATCATTATGTTACATACATAGACTTAGAAACAGCACCACTCACCACACAAGGAACACATCAAAATATGAAATTCAGTAACATTCCTAAGGCACATTTGGGAACAAAACATTGATAATGCCACTCTTGTTTTTGCAAAAATAAGAATGGCTCTTTCCTGCAATTTTTTTCTATGCTTAGCTGAACATTACATTTAACCAAATTCCTAGCTGACTGACATTTTAAACCAGTGGAAGAGGAATCATTTCTTTCTTCACTTAACAAAGAGCAGTGAGAAAAACAGGTCCTATTCACTGAGCCCTCATGTTGAAATCATCTTATTGCTAAACATGCATAAAGAAACTAGAGCAATGACAACTACAACAAAATGGTAACAACCTGAGGCTTGCAGCAGGTTTACTGCATTTAGCCACAGAGAATTAGCGCATTGAATATACACCAAAGACCTCACACCAACATGCCTTGAATGTACAGTGATACCATTTGTAGACTCTGCATGGTCAGTCAGCCTTCCCACAAGTTGTAACTTCACACAAGTTACATATGTGTACCAGGATTCATACTGGGATCTCAGCTCATCAGATACTGCCAAATTACTGAATTACCAGGACAGAGTAGGTTTCAAATGAATCTCCATGCAGTTTATTGTTAAAAGGTGTTTTATGCATGCATTTATTCCTTGAGTCAAGTTTAGTCTTTGCAATGTTACTCAGTTGATTTTAATTCACATGAAAGTGGTCACAGCTTATCTCAGAAGGGCAAGAAAACTACACTAGAAATTTTTCATCCTGAAAAGACCACTAAAAAAAAATATGTCTAGAACTGTTATCTTTGAATATGCCAAGTGTAATGTCCCAAAGAAAAGTATTCCCTCTAACATTCAGACTGAGTCACCTTAAAAATGGTTAAATTGCAGTTTCTTCAGGCAGGTAAGTGGCAATTTGATATTTAGAGCAAAAATTTTCAGTATACCTTTTTCCCTAAAAAGGCATGTTACATCTGCACTGCATTTATACAGTCTTATCTTTCAGAGTCTTGAGACTACAAGCGTTTGCAGCCACCCCCATACCTTTACCCTGGGAAGCTCAACCACTAACAAATATTTAATAAGCTTTTTTTGCCAAATCCATGCACAGAAGAAAATTATGGCAGCCATTCAGATAAAATATTATAGGTTTATTTAAAACTTATTTTCCACTTGAATATGCAAAATACAAATTACAACAAAATGTTCAATTTTACTTTGTAGTTTACAAATATACAAAATAGAAGTTTGCTTAAATTTATATTACATATTTATTATGTAAAGAACTATATAGAAAACATTTGTTCTGCTTAAGGCATATTTGGGAATAAACCATTGTACAAACTATTGCACATTGAAACCACAGTGCATTACAGACTGTCTGCATAAAGTTATTTTCTTAAAAAAAGTAAACCAGGTTTATTTACCTGATTTAGGTCATAATCAGCCATCGGAAGAAAAAAATATTTCCTTGTCAGATATGCAGCAGTTTGAGAACTTTGGCTTCCTGGTTTTGGTACCTCTAGAACCAACAGTCACTAAGCACCATGAAATAGGCTTTTAAAATATAATTCTGTACCTGAATTTTTCCTCCTCTTTTAACATCATAATGGCTTTCAGAAGGAAAAAAAAAAAAAAAAAGAAAAATACAAGATAACATTTACATCTAATATTGCATTGAAAGAAAATGAAGGGAATGTCATTTCCCTGTGTAATATCCCCACCCTCCGAACTACACAGTCTGTTTAACCCTGATATCCGTGACTTCCAGTCACTCCTTGGCATTTTGTAGTCCGGAAATAATTCAAGTTGGATTTACAAATGGAATGATAGAAGATCCAGTCATCGACCCCGATGTTTTTGGTTCTCTTTTCTTTTCAATGTAAATATATAAAAAAAAAAGTTGCAGTGTCTGTACGCAATTATCCCGCTTTTCCACTCTTTGGAAAACTTCACCTTGATTATCTGTAGTGCTTAAACTGTGTTCTTCCCAGCGTTCAGAAGACAGTCCTTGTGCTGTAAATACTGAATCTCTATGGCAGCTGGGGAAAGATCCACTGCTTCCAATTAAAAGTGCCTCTTCATGTGTAAGGCAAGGTGGTCCGACCTGGAAAATGCTCTGTCACACCGCTGGCACTGGAAGGGGCGGTGGCCTGTGTGTTTTCTGTAGTGACGAGTAAGTTCATCGGATCGGGCAAACTTCCATCCGCAGCCTTCCCAGTCACAGTGATAAGGTTTTTCACCTTTAAGAGTACAGAAAAATAAAACATGGCAGTTAGGTTGTTTTTTTTTTCCACAGCTACCACTTCTAACGCCTTTCTTTCAAGAAGCGCTAAGACATGCTGTCCTGGGTAAGAAAAAGGGCGACGTCTAAGAAAATGCAGTTTGAATCAACAGCAAACAAACTACAGGACTAACAAACAGAGTAAGACTGTCTTTTCAAAATGCACGGGTACAGTACAGGTACTGTAAGACGCTGGGAGTCACTGAAAGCTTCACTCTCATTTCCACTGTTTGTCTTGCACACAAGGCTTCAAGAACACACAAGTTCAGATAATAATATAGTGCATTTTTGGCAGCTAGTGTTACAGGATGACATGCTTTTTGGCAACCAATGTTATACGATGACATATCAACCAGAAATAGCTCAGCAGATATAAGGTATTTCGTTAATTGTAGGTCTCTAAGAACTAAAAAACAGCTGAAAACTCTTTTGTCTTCAGCTCAGCCTGATTAAGAACTGAATCTTACTGTCTTCACTGCAACAAAATCACTGTTGATGGCACGACGAGTTTTCCTCACAATTGCAAACCCTACACGTACTGGAAACCACGCAGACCAGCTTGGGGCACATGGGAAGTACTGTTCACTTGACCCTCACTGCCATTAGCTGAAGATGTAGCGTAACTACTGCACAACCAGTATCTTCTTCCTTCCTCATCTTCTTTTCAGAAGAAAGTTCCAAATCTAGTTCATAATCCAGGGATTTAAATTATGCAAATTCCCAAGTTATTTAATCACTATTACGGAATGCCTGCACTAGCAAAACCGCTCACAGTGTACCTGCTTTCACAAGCTCAGTAACTGCAACACCAGATTCAGCTGCACAGTAAGAAGTTTTAACTCAGGCTCAGATACACATTTGGCAGATTTTATCCGAATTCTAGCAGCAGCCAATCAACCATTCAACTCTGCCTCTCTGGTGCCAGTGCAGGGAAAGATGTGCTCTCCACACACAGGCAAAGCATCCTGTCAGTGCTGCTGACATGGCTGAAAACCCCACTCGCAAGGGTCCCACTGCAGTTCCCTCACTAAGGGAACAGTGACTGCAGAGGTGCACAATTCCTCCTTGCACTAGAGAGCAAGCCAAGACAAGAGGCATGCATGTGTAAAGGGTTTTAACCACGAGCAAAAAAAGGGGTATCTTACAGAGAAGTCTTCTTCCCTTTTCTGAAGTGGGCCAACACAAGCAGAGTAACAAAGCCCAGCTGACTTTTCAACTACCTGCTAATTAGCCAGCAACACAGAGAGGAACAAAAGACCTCTGCCTTGGCAAGAAACTCACCCGTTCCCACATCAGAGTAATTTTGAACCATTAAGCAAAATGCCAAGACGGTAAGTAAAGACTGCACTGGACTTCATGTAGCCAAGAGGAGAGGAAAAAAATGCTCAGAAAAACTGCAGAGAAGGGTTATGACTTGCTACATTTAGCCCCCTTCCTGAGCTCCCCTCTCTTTACTGTCCCCGGGGCTCACCCCATGCCCCTAAGCCTACGGCATTCCACTGATGACCCTGTGCTCTGGGACTGACCTGTGTGGGTTCTCAGATGTGCCTTGAGATGGGAGCTCTTTGTGTAGGTTTTGCCACAGCCGGCGTAATCACAGGTGTGTGTGGCTGTCCTCTTCCTAGGCCACGACCGGCGTCCCCTCTTGGGCTTGGTCTCCTCAGGCAGGCAGTTCCCCGGTGGCATCAGCTCTAGAGGTGGACAGGGAGGAGTGAGCACCACAGCCAGTGCCAAACCAGGTGCCCCAGCACACCCGCTGCCAAAGCACTGGGACTCACCTTGGTACTGGAGCGTGCCAGGTGGCAGCTGCTCGGGCAGGAAGGTGGGATAACCGGGGGCAGAGGGGTACCCCGGGGGCAGTGGCAGTGGTGGGTGGCTCAGCCCCGGGGCAGCGGGGAGACAGTCTCTGCCGCTCAGCATCTCCTCAGGCCCCAGCGAAGGCGTAGTCCGGGCGGGCAGCGGGCGGCCCAGCGAGAAGTCATGCTGGGGGGCTCCTCGGGGGCCGCTTCCGTGCGGTGGGGGTGGGCGGGGCGAGGGG